CGTATCTGTACCTCACTTATCAATTGCTATAAGTAATGATAAAAAACGATACATTTAATCAAAACAACACTAATCCTAGCATTTCTTGAGCGCAACAAATATTTGTCAGTCAATGTCGTTATGAGCTGTCGATAAGACATTTCAAACAACTTATTCAACAAAAATTTTTTCTGTCGCTGTAATAAATCTCTACATTTTTGTGTCTATTCCGTAAAACTTAAGGTTAAATTAGTGAACATAAGCACCAATGATATCGTGGATGGAAACCCTAAACTAACGCTAGGCTTAGTGTGGAGTATTATATTGCACTGGCAGGTAAGCGCCAACACTTGATAGCGATATAATAAATGTGTTTGAATGGTAATGTAATAAATGATTGGCGAATACAATAGGTTCACGGATTGCTTAGAGTGGTGGCCCAGGATATGCAGCACCAGAACCTTGAGAAAACCCTCCTGTCCTGGTGTCGGTCCAACACCAGTGGGTTAGTTCAACAGCACTTTGAATATGATTTTGTGTTGTTTTTTTGTTACTCGAAAAACTAAGTTATAATTTATACGTTATGTGTGATGAATGGCAACACAGGTATGAAGGGGTCGACATCACAAACTTCACGACGAGTTGGAGTGATGGACTCGCGTTTAATGCAATTTTGCATAGATTCAGGTTTTTATACATTAAAAAAATAAGAATTTTCTTGTTATTCTTGATGCTTAACATTAAAATGCATTTGTCATTAAAGGCCACACCTTTTCGACTACAAATCGCTGCTGAAAAAGGACGCCAACTCCCGGCTGATCCACGCGTTCGACATCGCGTTCAGACATTTGCAGATCGAAAAACTTTTAGACACCGAAGGTTTGACGAGATTTTTATTTATTTATAACATATGCGATGACATGCGAAGTGATGTGCGAATTGAAAATATATCTAAAAAATTTGTGTTTAGACATCAATACGAGTCGTCCCGACAAGAAGTCAGTGATGATGTATGTCATGTGCTTTTTTGAGGCCCTCCACAATGACAGCGCCGACACGTCTGATAGCAAATGCGAGGCATAATTATAAATAGTAAAATTATTGTCTAAATGAGTAAAAATTGCATTATTTGTGGCTTCAAATATAATTTTAATCCGTTTTGATTCACAACAAACGGGGAATGATTTATAGAGCATGCGATCTGATGCCATACTAAGAATTGATCGATCGCTTCATCACCACTGCTATCATACAGTGTCTCAGCGCTACACTCGCTATACTATACAATAGGTCTTACAGTAATCCAAATATACAGAACTCACTATAATATGGCTTATTATACAAGACTTTTTGTTATTTATAGTAATCTTCGCTTTAACTTAAATTAAAGATTAAAAGATTAGGATTAAAGAAAGTATATATTTAAAGATCTCTTACTTTCATTTAATATATGGCCGATAAGAAACCAATGCTAAACTCTCGTATATAGAAAGCAATATATTTTTAATAAATTCTTCAATTTACACTATTTTGACAAATGAGTTTAGAATTAATAAAAAATTCTCGTATTATTAAATAAATACTCCGTTAAGCAAAGAATTACTTTTCAAACTGAATTTCAATGAGTTTTAAAACGAAAGCAAAGCTTTTTTCTCAAAGTATTAGAAATAGAGTGCAGACATCGCTATAAAAACATCTTACAAATGACTATTAATTATATTTTATACACTTCTTGTCGATTCTGTAAATGTTCTGCAGATTAAGATAAGTGAAGAACTGAACACAACTCTCACAACAACAACAAAAAGTTCATTACTTGCAGTCACCCACTCATATGTAACCGCAAAATATATTCATTCTTTTGCGATACTTTGTGGTGAAAAACTACAGTATTTCTCATTGAAATTCAATACATTTTTCATTTTTGTGTGCAAAAAATCAATGGTTTGACTGATAGACGAGTGTTTTAAATTACACTTTGATTCAAAAGAATTTCAAATAGTTTGGCGAAAAAGTCGTTAAACGAGAGTTTCAGTTATTTATTGATAACTAATGTATAGATTTCACGGAGTGATTGCAGCCTTTGGATGAATCAACCACTAAAACCTCAACACATAATGATATTACTGGGCATTACAGGCACACAAAGCCAACCATAAAATCATTTCAATTGCAAAATATTGATTGAATTTACAGCATATTTCTTAACAAAAATTAGACTCAAACTTACGGTCGCTTTCATTACTTTCGACTCAGAGCCAGAAGTCTTGTATTGCTTGAAGTTATTCAGCAGTTCGTCGTATCGTTGCTATAAATGAGTCCAAAAAATGATTTATCAATAAAAAAGGCTTAAGGAAAAAGTGTTGAAAAATTCTTAAAAATTAATGCAAACCTGAATCAGTTCCGTCTGTTCCTCCAAACGAACCGCTGCTTCATTTCTATCCTGAAGACGGTATTTGTCTGTATAGCTCCTGAGGGCACTCAATGTGTTCGCATACGAGTCGAACTCCTTTTCCATTTTATCCACTTCTTCGGGCAGGTCTTCGGCCAACACTTCGTTGTCGAGTCTATTCTTGAGCTCAAATTCCACGCTTTGAATCCAACGCAAAACCGAAAGCAATTGTCTTTCACACTGTTGTGACTCACTCTGAGTGGTCTCCAACTCCTTTTGTCTTTCTTTCGCCTCTCGACTCAAACTATCCCATCGTTCAGCCACTCTCTGGACGTCTTTCTCCAACAATTCGGACGACATCTGTCTTTCAGCCAATATTTTACTTATTTCTTGAATCCTTTCCATTCGATCGTTCGGTTTATTCCGGATATAGTTTTCCAAATCCTTAACACAAATAAATAGCAAAACATAAAATACAAGTAACTTTTGATAACTTGCTTAATGACTCACATCAAGACATTCGGATATCTCCTCGGCGTCCGCAGCCAATTGTGGCGATCGCTTCAACTTCTTCGCCAGTCTATCCAACCAATCGTTTTCATTCATAATCAGTCGCTTTATCTCTCCGGCCATTGATTGCGATTTCTTCACGTCATTAATCGTTTCATTGATTATTGACTCGAATTTCTCTAAACTATTTTGAATAGCAATATATCTCTGTCGGAGATCCTCCAGCGAACCGGTAGTCAATTGATTCAAATTGATTTCATCCAATTTCTCTTTAATTATCTTAATCTCTCGCTTCTTATCCGATATTTCAGTCAAAACGTACTTAAGTTTATTAAGTGCGGCATAAAAGTCATTACCAGTTATTTGAGTGACATTTCCCACCTCATCATTGGTTTTCACCACATAATCCTCAGACTCTGTCAGCATTTCGTGAATAGCGTTACTGTTTTGCAAAACAATTTTCAATTTATTATTCTTATCGATGGTCGCATTCTTCAACTTTTCCCACTTCTCGTTGATTTCATTAAACTTCGAGACATTTCTCAGATTGAAATTCTTGGTGATTTCGACCGCATTCTTGTTCACGTTATCAATGGACGACTGAATCGTGATTTTGATGTCTTTCTGAAGTTTGTTGCACTGCTCTAACTGTTGCTCCAATGTCTCCAGATCTCCGATGGCTATGTCCTCATTGAGGAAGACGTCCACCTCATCCATCCATTTGTCTAGACTTACGATCTCCTCTTCCAACAGACTTATTGTTTGCAACGATTTGTTTATTAACTCTATTCTACTCTTGATTTTATTGTTCACTGAATCCCACTTAAGATTCAACTCATCGGTAGATTTGGACAACAAACTCATCACCTCTTTGGACATGGCCTTCGAGTCGAGCACTTCTTTCACGCCTTTGTTTATATTCCTTAGATTCGTGTCTTTAGAGCAAACAGTTTTAATCAATTCCTCAAACTTTTTCAACTCTTTCTCCAAAGCGTTTGTATCGTTGATTGAATCCATAAAATCTGAATCAATGGATGTATTAGTTTTGTTCAGACATTCCATCAATTTTTCAATTGATTTCGAGAGCTCTATATATCGTGGAGGGAACTGCTCTTTTGACACTTCTTTCGACACTTCCTTTTGAACACTTTGTGTCTCCTTTTGCTCCTTAGGGGCACTATCTATCTCCTCGTGGCCTACACTATGGATTTGCGACGAAGCACTCCTCAAACGTTTGTTAAAATTAATAATCTTTTTGTTGGTTTCGTCCCAATAAGAGATGAAACTTTTCACGTCATTAATAGTGGACTCGTTAGAAGACGAGGCAATTTCAGCGCATAATCTGAGAATGTCTTCCGTTATCTTCTGTACTCTTTCTTTCTGCGATTGCATTGACTTTAGACGTAACTGAAAGCCAAAACCGGATTAAAACAAAAATAGTATAGAATTTACGGTTAATTATTAGAGATTAGCTATAAATGTAACAGAATATACGGTACATACTTTGCTTTGATCTAAAAGTTTTGGCAATTCTTCAGTTTTATTAATAGACTCTTCGGCCGATTCCAACCATTTGTGATGTGTCTCCAGAACTCGAGTCATGGCATCGGATTCGCTGTGTATTCGATTCACTTCGAGGAAGGCGTTCACTCTTTTCTGTCTCTCATCCATAGTTTGGTTCACTTCTATCCAGCGCTCGAGTATAGTATGAACCACTTCTTCGATGGTTTGCGAGTCTTCGCCAACTTTTACATCAAATAAAAAACGAAATAAAAATTTAACCCAAACTTCAAATGTCAAGAATCACTCACTGTTTGCCAAATCCTCGACAATCTGTTTGCCCTGAGATATCAATTGTTCAAATTCGGTTTTCCTGTTCTCCACATCGGCTTCCGTGTCCTCTAAGAGCACCTGTTGCTCCTCAATGGCCAACGACTCCCACAGAAGCGATCCCTCATCGTCTTCAGTGTCTATGCCGAGCGCCTCCTCAACCCTTTCCAACCACGAGGAGAGGGTGTCGAGTGCTTTCTGCCACTCTTGGATTCGCCACGAGTCGAGCCGTCGCTTCTTAGCGTTGGTCGTCGGTGTCGACGCAGTCGATGACGTCTCTGACGACGAAATCTCTTTCTTGTCGGGCGAAGACGCCTGTGAAGAGGTCGACGACCGGCTACTCGCCGGTTGACTCAAAGTGTTGAGCGCTTCGCCCAACTGCTCCATTCGCTGCAACATCGCGTCCCAGTTTTGGGTCAGACGCTCCAGATTGCGGGTGATCTCGAGGGCGGCGTCACTGCCCCGGTTCAGTTTGGCCAACAGTATCTGCGCCTGATCTGCCAGATTGGATGAGTTTGTCTGCTGGCACTCCATCTCGTTCTCCATTCGCTGCAATCGCTTCACTAAATCCAACACAAACTTAGAGCCGGGAGTCGTCTCATTGGCCGCGTCCTCCATCTCAGTCAGCCGTCGGTCCAGTTTTGTGAGCCATTGACTGAATTTCCTCTCCTCTTCGTTCAGTATTTTCCATGAATTATAAATTGTATGCAAATTACTTCCCGTGTCCTCAACGAAACGGCAGACATGACGCCAACGTTCGGCCAACGCTTCCAATTGGTCTTCGAGGGCTCCGAAATCGTTATCACTATTATTGTCGTCATTAATCACAACCATATTTGACACTAAGTTCACAACTTCTTGTTGCTCTTCCACTTGTTTCATGAGTTGTTTGTGTTGTTTGAGCTGCTCTTTCACTGCAGACAAACTCGAGCCGATGTTAGAGAAGTCACAGATCTTCACCTCAGCCGATGTCAACCACTCGCGCAGTGCATCCAATTGTGTTTGTTGTAAACTCATGAGCGAGTCGTTCAGCTGTTGCTGTCGATCCATGGCTTTTATCCGTAACTGATCCCAACGGGCGTTCAATAAATCCATTTGAAGGGAGATCTCATCCCTTTCGTCAGAATCGCACGCATTTGAACGGATCAGTTGTCGCCCTTCGATGAACATCTCCTCAATCTTCTGTTGGTAATGACTCAACTCAATCATGAAGAGCTCGTTGTCGTGGAACAGGTGTTTCACAGTCTCCAAGTCATTGTTGGCTACGGGTTCACAGTTACTCAACTGCTCCTCAGCGCCCAACATCCAGGTCAGTATGTCTTCTAAGTTTGATTGATATTCACTGATTTTCTTCTGATCCAAATCCGAAGACTAAAGAGAAAACAATTTTACTCAAAAGTTATATAAAATAATATATCAATAGAAATACAGTACCGATGCCTCGCATTTGCTATCAGACGTGTCGGCGCTGTCATTGTGGAGGGCCTCAAAAAAGCACATGACATACATCATCACTGACTTCTTGTCGGGACGACTCGTATTGATGTCTAAACACAAATTTTTAGGCATCAGATCGCATGCTCTATAAATCATTCCCCGTTTGTTGTGAATCAAAACGGATTAAAATTATATTTGAAGCCACAAATAATGCAATTTTTACTCATTTAGACAATAATTTTACTATTTATAATTTTTTCTAATTATTCTTAATAATACACTTCGGAACCCGTTTTTAATTCAGAATATTCTGGCGATTTGTGTGTGTGTTATGTGTTAGCCGTTGAATATTCCACTCAATTCTTTGCCTTTTAATGATGTCTATATTAAACATGAATTTGAATTATGATTTGTGGCCATTTTAGTGACCGAATTATTTATGACCATGCTTATAATTGCCTCAAAACACTGTTTGTAACAAATATTTGTTGTCTTTATTGACACATTCAAGACTCAGGAAAATTTACTGCCGGTGCCCGTCGAGGACACCCACTCGCCACAAGAATCTGAAGAACCCGAACAAACACCAGACGATCCAGAGGTCACTCCAGAGCTTAAAAATAAACCCGAAGAACCAGAACAGGAGATACAACAGGAAGTGAGTGAAGATTTGGTAGACAAAGAAGAATCGAAAGACTCGGTTGAAGAATCGGAAGAAACTGCTGACGATATGAACAATAGATGGAATTCATCTCAACCCGTGTTAGTGAGGAATGAGATCAGTGCCGAAGAATGCAATCAATTCCTGCTATCGTATCGCGAGCTCACGGAATGGATCATCAAAAAAGAGACAGAGTTGTCGTCACAGCCGGCCATTGGCGGCGATGTGGCCGTCATTTTGAGACAACAGGAAGAGAATAGAAATCTAAAGCGACAGTTGGATGAGAAGAGACCACTCATTGAGAACAGTCTTCTGGCCGGAAGACAATACGTGGCCAGAGATGACTACGGAGGACATCATGAGAGCAGCGACTCTGAAGGTATGTCTTGTTTTTTGTTACCATTTATGTAATTCTTAGCAGCCGTTCGTTAATTTTCTATTAAATTAAATTTATTTTGGTTTTTGAAACCACTTTAAAAAGCAAATAGTATTTTACGAAAACAATTTAATGGAAATATTTGTGAAAATATAATACCAGTGTTAATATAATTTATTGCATAACGCCTTGAATGTCATTAAATCTAGTTATAAGGCGATGAATGGTAGCGCGCTTTCAGTCAGTTCAGCGTTTTTTCACTAAAAAATGAAATTAAATCTTTAAAGTTTTTTGTATGAATAGAAAGTACACTGTAATTGTGTGAGTGCTGAGGGCCTGTGTGCTGATAAGAGTCGCGACAAATTGAATATAATTTAAAAGTGAGAAAATTAATGTCAACTATTGTTACGTCAAGTCATGAATAATTGAATCGTTAAACTCGACGATTGGATTTGAGTTTTTGTTGTGTGTTTTGTTGCATTGAATTCTTAGTGGTATTCACTGTATTATTTGAGATGGGATTGGATGCGAGAGAGAGTAGACAAAGACTATTAAGCTATTTGTTAGTCATTTGGTTTTGTGCGAAGCGATAAATTGTATACAAATAATAAAGTTTGAGCTCTTATTTGTGAACTGAGTGCTGACGGACAGGAGGTGTTGTTTATTGTTTCAGTGAGAGATTACGAGGGCGACGGTCGGTGCCGGAGTGCCGGTGGCGATGGCGGGGATCAGTCGGCTCGTGAGGTGACCCGCAGTATGAGGAGAGAAGTGAAGAAACTGTCGGATAAATGGAATGAATTATTACAGCAAACGGAGCAAAGACTGAAACGATTAGATGATGTGCAGAGGGTTAGTATCCATACGATTGGATTGGCGTGAGATGTGTGTTGTTTGACGTCTTTGTGCACATATTATAGTGATTGCAGACAACAGACAAACACATCACTAACTCCAATACAATTGCCTTTTCATATAAATATAGCTTTCATTCAATACATGCTCGCGTTTGCTTCCAATATCTATATCTGATTCATGTATCGAAAACTAATGTCAAACTTTTCTTCTCTCCTTTTCTCCCTTTTCTCCCTTTCCTCACTCTCTCGGCATCTCCTCATTCTGTGTGCAGAGAATGCATAGCTTGCAGAAGGGTATGGAAGACCTGAGCGCTAAATTACATGCATTAGAAACGCATAAAACTAAATGGCCTAACATTACGGACATTGGTTTGGATCAATTGCCTCAACATCTCATTGAACTGAAGGTGAGTCTCATTCGCTGAACATTATATCTATTGTCACATAACTTATGATACGATAAAACCCTAACTTATGGTGAAAAAGATATTTTGATTTCTAACCGATTGATTGCTTCAATGAATTGATTAGTCGTTTGGCGAGAGAGTGGCGCAGATCCAGTGCCAGACCGAGCAGGTGAACGAGTCGGCCGCTCGCATAACCGGCTGCAATGTCCTCCTCTCGCACTCTAATCTCAATTACTTGGAAGAACTCAACACTCGCTCGCGTTTACTTCAATTGGCGGCCGACGAGCGACACAAAGCCATAGAGCAGGCCATCAGAGATCACGGCTCAGCGCAGCAACAGTTCTTGAATGCGGCCGTCGATCACCCCTGGGAGAGGGCAGTGGCCGCCAACAAAGTGCCTTATTATATAAAGTGAGTCCACTCTGTCACACATACTGACAATAGCCTCCAATCGATAACTAATCCAATCTTTCTCTGCTTTTGTCAGTCACGCGACCGAAACCACTCATTGGGTAAGGCTTTTGAGTCCGTAATTCCCTTTAGTTTCGACTTATTTAACGCGTTTTGTGCGCAAAATGTTTGTGACTATTATAGGAGTCGCCGAAGTATACGGAAATCTTGAACTCGTTGTGCGAGTACAACGAAGTCCGGTATAGCGCTTATCGGACGGCAATGAAGTTGCGGACAGTTCAGCGCCGGTTGTGTCTCGACTTAATACCATTGGATAATTTGATTGTCATATTCGATGGCTTCGGTCTTCGGGCGCAGAACGACAACCTCATCAGTGTTCCTGAAATGATCAGTTGTTTGCAGAACATCTACGAAGGCATAGCCAACGAGCACTCGACGCTCGTTAACGTTCCGCTTTGTATTGATTTATGTCTTAATTGGTTACTCAATCTGTACGACACGTAAGAATTGTTTCGTAATATTTTTGTTGTTTATTTTCATCTGAACCCTAAGCCTGTGTTTAACATTTCGCTATGTATTCAATATATAAATGTCTGGATTTGTGCTGTAGTTCCACTCGAACCGGATATATAAGAATACTGTCGTTCAAAGTGGGTTTAGCGCTGCTCTCCAATGCCTCCGTCGAAGACAAATACAAATGTGAGATAAGACTCTCTATTTGGAGACATAGTCTCTCTTTTTATGATAAATAAACAACATTTTTATGATTATGTTATGAAATGTGTGAACAGATTTGTTTCGATTGATTGCGAGCACCAGTGGAAGTGCCGACGAAAGAAAATTAGGGCTTTTATTACACGATTGCATACAAATACCCCGTCTGTTGGGGGAGATCGCGGCCTTTGGCGGCAGTAATATCGAGCCCTCTGTCCGCTCGTGTTTCCTTAGAGCCGGCAATAAAAGTGAGATCCAGGCGCCAGACTTTCTCGGATGGCTTCAACAGGAGCCTCAGTCTATCGTATGGCTGCCTGTATTGCATCGGTTGTCACTATCGGAGACCGCCAAACATAAGGCGAAGTGTAATATCTGCCGACAGTATCCCATAATTGGCTTTCGATATCGATGTCTAAAGTGTTTTAACTTCGATTTGTGCCAAAACTGCTTCTTTTCTGGCAGAAGAGCCAAACACCATAAGATCACGTATGCCTTTAACCCACTCATCCATTCACTCATTTAATTACCACTAATCTTATCACTTGATGACTAATCCTATAGACATCCGATGCAAGAGTACTGTGTTGTCATCCATTCCGGTGAAGACGTCCGAGACTTCACTCGTATTATTCGCAATAAGTTTAAATCAAAGCGTTATTTCAAACGCCATCCGCGAGTCGGTTATCTTCCCGTTCAGACAGTATTAGAAGGCGACGACTTGGAGAGTCCGATGCCCTCCCCTTCCCATACATTACATCACACATCGCAGGACATGCACTCGCGGCTCGAACTCTATGCAAATCGATTGGCAGAAGTGGAACTAAGAGGACGCAGTAGTGTCACACCAGACGAATCGTTAGTATTGATTGTGTTTATGGTTTTCGTCTGTATTTTATGATCTGTTTGTCTCAACAGTGAAGACGAACACCAATTGATAGCTCAATACTGCCAGACATTAGGCAACGATTATGGATACACTACTTATGCTCCTCAGAGTCCCGCACAAGTGATGGCTGCCATTGAAGCCGACCAAAGGGATGAATTGGAGTCCATTATCCATGAATTGGAAGAAGAGAATCGGTATTTGATGTTTAGATTAGCTGTCGAGTGATTTGCTTTAATTGGTGCTATTTTTGGTAACAGTGTTTTACAACAAGAATATGAGATTCTCCAGAATGAGAGATCGACCAATAGATCGGCAAACTATGGCAACAATTATTCAAATCATACAAAAATTGGGTCCAATATGTTAAGTGATTCCGAGGTGGATGTGACGCCCCTATCGACCCCCAGTAGGGACGATGCAATGCTGGCCGAAGCGAAACTCTTGCGCCAACACAAGGGACGACTCGAGACTCGGATGCAAATACTCGAAGATCACAACAGACAACTCGAGGCTCAATTGCAGCGCTTAAGACAACTGCTTGAGACGGATCCCGAACCGTCTCACTCGCCATCCCTGCACAGCAACACTTCATCGTTACCCCGCATGTCGAGCGGTCCACCACCTCATCATCGAAACATTCACAACAATAATAACATATCTTCGTCTCCCAGAGCTCTTCATCACAGTCTCACCAATGGATCTGAAAATCCAGGTTTGGATTGAATATTGCATTAAAGTGTGAGGACTTGTACTCAACTATTGATTACGACATTAGGAGCGACGGTGGCGTCAAATCCGGTCAACAATTTGTTGCAAACGGCCGGCAATTTAGGCAAAGCTGTCGGCGTATTAGTACATGTCATGACTGATGACGAGACGGGAAGTGATAATGAAATTAGTGTTAAGAAGAGTACGAACTCTAAACATAAACAATAAGAAAAATGCATTCATTTGTATTTTAAAATAATTTTTATCATTAAATTATTGGTTATTTAAACAGAGAAACACATAATAAACACATCAAATAATAATAATATAATACAAATCATGTCTACAAAAAACGAGTTTAAATGATATCAATAGTTGAAGCAATAGTAATAAAATAATTGCCTTTAATTTTGATTTTTGTTTTTTAATTGTAAATAATATTCATAAGAGTTTAGAAGATGTAAATGAAAGCATCACTTGTTTTACATACTGTACTAAACATTTTGGATTAATTTATTACTAAATTATTGGTTAATGTTTTATCTCATTGAATAAAATTATGGCTCAAATTATGTCATCTAATAAAATTGTATTAAAAATCCTCTAAAAAATGTTGTTATTCTTAATATTTTTGAGTTTTTATGTAAGAAAGCCTTTTAAATAATTCTTGTGATCAATATGTTTGCTGTGAATACAGAATATTCTGTATATACAGTATATAAAGTATTACTACTTATTTAAAAGGAAGCTGCAGAAAACACTTTAAATTTATTATTTGCGCTGAAATTCAATTATTCGACACTTTTTTAAAATGCAAATTTTGATAAGCAATACGTTTTTGTATGAATTTTAACGATAAATTGTCGAGAAAAATACAGCAAATATTTACCAATCGATTCAATAAGTTTGAAGAGAAATCCTTTTTTCTTTTCGTTTTCTCTAATAAAGTGACAATTTTTTCCTGTGTTTGGGTCTCTCTCTCTCTCTCTCTCTCTCTCTTATTGTACAAAAATATTTGGCTTGTGTTTCGGGGAAACAACACTTATATGACTCTATTAGCTATGATTCGTGTGCACCTCAACACTCATTTTTATAATTGTTATACTAATTGCTATTGTGTTTGGTTGGAGCAGTGGGTCTCGAAGATTTTGTGCATCAAAACCTATTACTATGAATGAGCTGTGAGTATGCCTTTCGATTGCGCCCTTTCGTTTGAGTCGCAAACACTTCAAATGATGAGATGTTTAGTCAAACACACAGTATGTGTACGAATGGCCTGTTCGGATCAATACCGGGGAATGAAACGCGCGAATCGATTCGTGTCTCACTTTTCTCGCTATACTTTCTTATGGTTTGTGTTACTCTTAGTATGCATTCCACTGATATATACAGCAAAAGCAATATTATTCTCGTCTCTTCAATACATCAGTCGATTCTCTTAAAGAATTTCTTTAAGTTTATGTCTCTTTTCTACAGAATTTAATTAAATTTCTAACACAATAATTGAATTATTGTTGTATTTCTTATATACACACTTATTAGGAGTTATTTTTATTTTTTGGTACGAATTATTTTTATCGATTAATTTATTTTATTTTTTTGGACATCAATATTGCGATAAATCTGAAGATTTTTTGTATGAATAAATGTCAAGAATATTGGACAATTGAAAAGTTTTGAGGCAATCGTTGTGTTAAATGAGTGAATGTATGTCTGGGAGCGAAAGAGATGCGATAGGCATCGGATGCGAGTGGTAGAGAGCATGCGATTTGAGCCAAACGTTTGATGATTTTCCGAGCATTTCTTTGCACACAAAATAGTGGTGCGAATCCATGTCATGGCTCCTAGAGTTGGCTCTTAGAGAGAGAAGATATATACAGTAGTCTACAGACTCGGCACACATACTCTCATTGAATACACTCATACAGACAGCCGTACACTCGATCTCTCTCTTTCTCCTCATCAAAGCCAGGAGTGAATCCCAACGTTAACTCAATATGTGTTTTCCAAATGTAATGTCATTTTTTTGATAATTTGATAATTTAATGGATAAATGAGAAACAAACGAGTCTTAAGTGATTGAATGTGTTTGCGAGGCAAGAATCTCGCGATTCTCAATGACTATCAACCCTTTACCTCAAGAATTGTGGAGATGTAGTGATTCTGTGCTCTCATGAAGACAATGGTTGAGTGCTTGCAATGCCATTGGTTTCAAATAACCATTATTTTTGTTGTGATTATGAATAGTAAATCCATTGAAGCGAACGGTAAATGCATTTAATTTTATACGAGTTAATCAATTGTTATGACACAGAATTGCATTGCATTTAATACTCACTGAATAGCAGAATATCGTGTTTTCTATGAGTTTCTCTCTGTTTTTTATTTATATTAAAGTGCTTTACATTTATCACTACTCGAGGCAATTAAACGACTTTAAAGCTCTTTATAGGGGTTCCCGACCATAGACTCAGGAGATTAATTAAATTGAGTCTAACTTTTGAGATTGGCGTCCCAATCGATAGGCATATAATTGCGGTGAAAGAAGTAGTAGTTTTCAAATTGAAAATTATTGAACGAAACATAAATTCCGTTGGAAAGCAGTGCTCCTCTTCTGCACTTGTATTGAGTTTCAGACAATTATCTGAACCACACTTTAGGGCAACAGAAAGAAGAAGAAATGAAATGAAATATTGTCGACGAGTTATCTATTTTTTATGACAAATAAGATATATTAGAAAATGTGAGCCAAATAATCACTTTTTTGTGTTTATAACATGAAAAATAAGAAAATGAGTGATAATTTAGTCCCAAATGCATGTGTCGTGTAATCCAAGACCCGAGACAGACAGAGACCTCGATATATATATAAGCAGTAATTTGTAGTCCTTTTAAAGTGATTGAAGGAAATAATTTCAACAAATAGTTGCTGTCATTTGCTGGTTGGTTATCAGCGATTCAATGGTCAGGCAGTGGTAATCAGTCATGTCTGAGCACATTCTCTCTCATCCCCGTCCCCCATAGGCCCACACAAATGCATGAATGCCTAACCCTAAGATCAACACTTGTGAAAGCGTTTGACATTTAAATATTGATAGCAATTGTCCGTACAATACAATGTTTTCCATACTCTATATATGATTCAGAAAACAAGGTTTTAAATAATGAATGAGTGCCTCACAAATGATTTATAATTTATTCATTTGGACGTCGAGTTTAGTAAAAATAGTTGTATTTTAAGGGATTTGCGGCAATAAAGAGATGTTTTATGAAAAGCTGGAACTTATCATCATTTTTGAAAGCCATCTAAAATTATATTCTCGCAAAACATTAGTAACACATATACAGCCAGAAGTATTATGTAAGTTATTGTAGTTGTGTTATACAGTGCGTCTGGTACTGTATAATATCATCTATTATTTAGATGACTATGTGTTGGATGCGACGGCTCTAGTAGCACATCCCAGCGCTCTGTCGACCGCATAGCTGTATATCATTTTATTAGAGATGAGTTAAGCATAACTTCCCTTTATATCAAATGATAACAAGAAATGATCTGAAGAGACAAATTGAAAAGATTATGCCATAAACACTATTATGCGATCAGCACTGATAGGCATTCCCTTTTATGGGCCCGCAATCAAACTTTTATCTACCATTTCCATTAAATCTAATTTATACGAAACGCCAACTAATTGTTAATTTAAAAATGAGAAATTATGTCTTCAAATGACTGCAAATTAGTTCAGCCATTCATTCACTCAATGAATACTATAGAAATTGATTAACTCATCAATGGTTGCAGTCTTTAGAGTAAATATTTTAAAAATATGTTTCACTTATGAATTGTTTTAATGTATAGATTTTTATTGTTCGCAAAACTTGGGGATCAAAATCAATACAACTAATGATATATTCTCTTACAATCTAATGATCTTTTCTCTCTCCAAAACTCTACTCAATATTAAATTTCATCCCCTCTTAACCCCCGACATCCCTCTCAGTCCTCATCCCTCAGCCCTCGTGTGTCTCACTCTCTCAGTCAGCCCTCAATCCATACATTTGCTCATTGAAGCAAAAATATGGGATTATTTGCTGCATAAGTATCACAATTGAAGTCATGTTTTAAAACGCGAACTCCGAGAGCGAAGTCAAAGTGCAAACACTATCAATAAAATGCAATTCAAAAAAGTTTTTCTCTTGAGTTCATTATATTCCGTATTCACTGACAAAACACTAATGTATTCTTGAATTTTAAAATCGCTGTCAGAATGCGACAGAATGTTCATCAGTAATCCGGATGGACTCAAAAACGGCACCTTTAGGTCACCCCATATTACGAACGAACAAAAGCATTCCCGTCAATGCATTTACACATTCATTGCCGCCGAGAATGAAAGGGTTCAGATCTCCTTCTCTCTCTTCGACTTAAGAGGAACTACACCCGAGTAAGTCATTTGTCTCCCTTGCCATTCATATATGCCTCACATTACCGTACACTCACTGCACATAAACACCACGATTAGAGCAAATAGTGAACTCCTTTTCCTCCTCCGACTGCTACTACACAAGCAATCAATATATGAATACAAGTGTTGTTGTGATAGAAGAGTTTGCTTTTATATATCTATATTTGAATACATGTATAGCTGTAGCGGAGAGTATGTGGACTTATACACAGAGCTGGAGGATCCGGCACAGGAATTAATCACCACTCCGTTTGGGGGCCGTTATTGCGGTCGAACTGTGCCTCGAAAGCGAATATCAATGTATCAGACGCTGGTCTTTGGCTTCTATTCCGATCAGAAACAAGTCGACGACCGAGTCTTCGAAGGCTATTACGAATTCATTGACGCCAGTGAGTACTCCTGCCATACCCGCCCTCCCTATCCACTCAAGTCTCTCCGGATTCCTTTACATTATTTTTTTCTCTTCAATTCTATAACAAGGTTTGAGACCATTTCGTTATCGCTACCTAAACTTACAGTATATATCTATACAGAATCGATTCTGTGAGACTTAAATATGCACTATTGCCTAGAATTTTAACTTTAATTATGCTCAACATATCATGTATTGAATGGGAATTAATATTGAAATATACTTTTTTATTTTGTTGTATATTCTTATAAGAATTAGAATTTTTATTTAATTATATTTTATTACTAATGAAATATTAGAATTGATATACTTGTACAGTACAGTATGTCATTGCATTGAAATTCAATTGAGGCAAACTATTTTCATAAATTCATTACAAATATAAAGTGGAAGTTTCGTAAGAAAAATAAAAGTAATAGGAAAGTGAACTTATATTTTTGTACGAATTTGATTTTCACTCATTGAAGACATTTATAGACCATATCCTGGGGACACGAACAGCATTATAGACCCGATTCTGTGTGCCATTTGTAAGAGTGGTTTAAAAGTATTTTTGTTATATTTTTTTTATAATTCCCTTTTATTCCATTATATACTGAAATGTTATACGAAATGGTTTGTTGTGTTGTTAATCAATTTGAGCCCAGTATTCGTGACATGGATCGCAATAGAGATATACCGACAAACGATTGAATGCCTGTCCCAACACTACAGTAACTCAATAAAGTTTAGTTTGCGATCAAATTCTGAAATACATTTTTCCATTTCCTAAATAATCACGTCTACTCTCTCTATATATATTATTTTGAGTATTACGTTAATAAAAGAGTTTTTGTGTTGAGAAATATAGTTTCAAACGATATATTTTTGATTCAATCAATTCATTCAATTATATTTAACGCTTCAAACCTTTAATACATTTCAAGAATTTGCAGGACTAATAGAAAAGACCAACTCTTGAGGCTTAGGCTTAAGATTTTTGTGTGTCATTTGGCCATAGCTTCCATTAAAAGGCTAAAATGAATCCAAGTATTGAATCAAAACACTTATTTTTTAAACGAAAATTGATTATTAGTTTTTATATTTCAATTATTAGTTCAGATTTTGATTCAGATTTTTTAAATTAAAATAAATGAAGATTTTGTGTTATTTCGCTCTTAAGATATCTGAAGGACTATTTCGGAAAGACATCAAAGAATTTTTCGTTTAATATTTTTATATTTATTGTAAAATTTCTTAAGTATTTTTAAGAGATATCTGTTTTTGTTATTAAGAATAAATGTTTTTGTCTCAAAGCTGTATAAAACTCTTATCATTCAATTTTTACTCTTTCTCTTCTCTACAATATATTTGCGATCAATTTCTCGATCCTCTGAACTAAAAGAAAACTTTCATATTCTTCACGAATGGCTCGTATTTTGATACAACATTATGTCATCAAAAAAAATTCTGTTTGAAATATCATTGAGTGCTTATCGTTAAGAATGGGAATCGAGCGATACCTCAAAGCCGAGAGCATTCAAAACTCGTCATTTTGATGGATTGATTTGTTTTGATGCCTTTCCTCCCATTCCAAACTATAGGTCCATTTATTGTGGGAACGCCAGCCCCGCACACAACATGCAGTTACGCCATATATAGCGACCAGAAAAGAGAGGGTCAGTTCCTCAGCCCTACATATCCGGGAGTTTACCCGAAGAACCTGAGCTGTCAGTACCGCTTCCTCGGCAAGAAGGGACAGCGCGTTAGACTCGAGTTCATGGACTTCGATCTCTTCTACGGCGGCCCGCAGTCAGTCTCTCTCTCTCTCTCTCTCTCTCTCTCTCTCATATCGCACTTTTGCCTAACATTTCATGACATTTAATATAATAAATGCTTAGCAATGAAATGTTAGACTCAATCAAATTATAGCAAACAAAAGCTAATCATTCGCTTTCGACTCAACCCAATAGCTGTCCGTTTGATTACATCAAAGTATATGACGGCGGCTCAGATCAGGACCCAATCATAAATACTTATTGCGGACAACAGCGTAATCTTATGGTGTATTCCTCGGGAGAGAATTTGTTCGTTCAGTTCAATACACTGAAGAGGACGGCCGACAGTCAGAACAGAGGCTTTTCGGGATGGTTTGAGTTCAGCGAACGATTCGTTAATCTCGGTATCTATTGATTTCTCTTTCATTCAACAAAACATTTATTAAATATATAAATATAAGTAAATATGTGTTTTGAATGCAAAAATAGTTAATATTCTTGAGTGATACTGTATGTCAATAGAAAAGAATAATATATAATGCTCTTAATAAATACAGTACAGATTTATAAGCTATTTTAATATTAACTAAGTATCCTTTTGTATTCTTATAAAGTACTGTAAACAGAATAATACAATATTTGCTGCTATAAAAATATATTGTAAGAATTAATATATTTATTCACAGTAATCTACTGTAAATATAGTACAGCACAGAATATTTTAATAGACCTTATATTCATAAAAGGTATTTTAATAAGCAAAATGTTATTCTTATTTAGAAAATTAAAAACAATATGCATTAGTAAATTATTTGTAAAGCAAATGCAAGTAATTATAATTTTTTTAATGAATCCTTTAATACTGTGTATAGATTTACTTCATTTATATACATATTAAATTGAAATAGTATATTCTTATTAGTAAAAGTAGTCTTCTTACAAATTGAAGTTATATTTTCTAACAAATGGTGTATTGATTATTGTTGTAATTAATAAATACTTGCATTAATAAAGGTTTTATCGGGAAAAATGACGGCCAACACATCAAAGGCACAGAATGTGACCAAAAAATATTGAGCCGTAAAGAATCAAACGGAACCGTCTATTCGCCAAACTATCCATTTTTATACCATTCAAACATTGTCTGCAAGTATTATATCTACGGTTTGCAAGACTCTCAACATTTGGAAAGAGTGAACATCGAGTTCGAGAAGTTCGAGATTCCGGCCACCGATC